TTGCATTGGCCTCTATCAAGAGGGTAGGGGACCTGCATGCATTTTCGGTCGACGAATCGTGCCTGGAATTCGGCCCAGATAACTCTCACGTGATCCTGAGACCCCGGCTCGGATACGTGCCCAAGGTTCCTACCACTCCCTTCCGGGACCAGGTGGTGAACCTGCAAGTGCTGCCTTCGGAGGAGGCAGACCCAGCCCTAGCTTTTCTCTGTCCCGTCCGCGCTCTGCGCCTGTACGTGGACAGAACGCAAAGCCTCAGGACCTCAGATCAGCTCTTCGTCTGTTACGGAGGCCAGCAGAAGGGAAATGCTGTCTCCAAGCAGAGGATGGCCCACTGGATAGTGGATGCCATTGCCTTGGCTTACAAAGCCCAAGGCGTGCCTTGCCCGCCCGGGTTGAGAGCCCACTCCACTAGGAGTGTCGCTTCTTCTTGGGCGCTGGCACACGGCGCCTCGCTGACAGATATCTGTAGAGCTGCGGGCTGGGCGACACCTAACACGTTCGCTAGGTTTTATAGCCTACGTGTTGAGCCGGTTTCTTCCTGTGTGCTCGCTTCAACCAGCCGGTAACACCGAAGTTCTCGCTCTAGTGTCGGCTTGCTGCGCCACTCCCCTCCACGGAGCGGATACGTGCGCTTTTTTGCTCCATTCGAGTTCCCCACCCAGGCGAACCCTGTGAGTTCCTCCACACCCCTTCGGCAGTCGGACATTGCGGAGCGTCCGACGCCAGGCCTAGTGCTAGTATGCTCGTGTAACTTGTGCTAGGCTGGGTTCCATATGTGTGATCCCTGCGGCGATCCCATATGAGTATTCTTCCACGACCAGCTCCCTGCGATGAGCCCGTGTCTTTCCCTTGGCAGAGCTCGCTCTGCCATCACTGTCTGGTGTAGCCTCCCCCTTCTTAGGCTGGAGCCACCCCAGTGACATTCCATATGTTGTACTGCCCCAACCGGCCAGTCCATATGTGTATTCTCCACATGGTACCTCCCTTCAGACAGGATGTGGCTCTGCAGCGTCCCTCTCCCCTGGAAAGGCACGCTTCCCAGTGTTATCCAAGAGTTCACTGTATGGGTATATGGAACAGCAGTTGAACTCCCTCTACGCAGGTCTTCCGCCCCAGCAGTTGGGGGTCTGAGAGTCTTGCGTAGGGCGCTGGATGTGGCAGCAACCGATGGCGTTTTCCATGTGATCCCCCTAACGACGTCACGTCGAACGTGAGCGACTGAAGGGGAACGTCTCGGTTACTGATGTAACCCTCGTTCCCCGAAGGAGGGAACGGGAGACGTGACGTCCCGCCGCCACAGTTGCTGACCATCGCTGTACGGCCGTCACTATCTCGGCTCCTCAGCGAAAAACAGTGTGTGCGCGCGCCCGCTTCCTGTTTTATACCCGCGCTGCGGGGTGGGGTGCGTGACGCGATCACGCACGCCAACGTTCACTGGCTTGTTCTTTAGATACTCGAAGTTGATAGGGCTCCCTGAAGTAATCCCCTAACGCCGTCACGTCGACGTCACGTCTCCCGTTCCCTCCTTCGGGGAACGAGGGTTACATCAGTAACCGAGACGTTTTCAACAGTTGGGTTAATGGCTGCAGAAAAATCTCATAAATTACATTTTTATATATATTACAATAGAAAACAGTTATATTAAATCGCAATAATATTTCACAATATTTCCCAGCACAATATTTCAGTTTTTCATTAAATAAACGCAGCCCTGATAGGCATAAGAGATTTCTTTCAAAAACAGACAAAAATCTTACTGACGCCAAACTTTTGAATGGACATTTCTTGTAGAAACTCTAAGAAAGTGTTTGTGAAAGGTAAGATGTTCCTGTTATCACATTAATTTAATAATAGTATAGTATTAATAATAATTGGGCCACATTGGAGGACATATCAATAGATTTAAGTTAGATTTTTTAAACCAAAAGCTTCACAGATTTTACAAAAAATGTAAATGCTTAAATCTGCTAAATGTGGAGTAGCATTTAAATACCTTGAAGTTATTTATATGCTAGTGAATATGAATAACTTCCGCAGAACTTAAATTGTGTTTTAATGGAGTCTTTTATTGTAGGACCCCCTGCCCAGATCTCCACGTAAAGTTGTCCTTCTCACGCTGCACTGCAGTCGTTTTCAGTTTCCTGTTGCGGCTAAAATGTGTTTCAATGATCTGTGCTCATGTATTGCAATGACATCTGGAGGATATCTATGTTTGAATCGCTCCATCATTCATACAGCAAGATAGTCTCTAAAGAAAAATATATTTTTTTAATAGTACAGTTGCCGTTTATAGGAGAATCCTCTCTTGGCAACCGCTTCAATTCTAATTCCATTTCATAAACTGAATACACGCAGTGCTGCGAGAGTCTGTCCGGCTGCCAGAATCATCTCTCCAAACATTTACATCCACTATGCCTGTTTATGTGGTAAAGAGGCATAGAGAATGCTGGAGGGGTGATATTTTCACACAGGGATCTTTGGAACGCTGTATGAAAGCCAAACAGAAAGCACATTTACAGTGCAGATTTCTTGAGTAAACTTCAGGTTCAGACTGAAATAAGTGATCCTGTGGGGTTATGTCTGTTTATCACACCTGGCCTGGGATTTGTGTGAATGTGGCTGGATTTTCTTGTGAGATCCGAGTCGTTTCATTAATATCCCTCAGTGATAAACAGTGATGGACATGTCCAAGAGAATAACTGTTTAAAGCTGCAGTCCGGCGTTTTTCCTCTTTGTCGCCATCTCTGTACAAAATCTGCAATTGCAGTCATTCGCGGAATTATCAACTTTACGTGAGTTGTACTTCAACACCCTCAACAGCGCGGATGAACACAATGTTTGAGGAGAGTGTGCAGCTGTCAGTCACCGCGCCTGTGTGGATACTGGCATTCAGAATCACAGATTATTCTTTTTGGAAGTATGACCAACATAATAATTTTCACCGGAAAATGTCATCTGAACAAGTAAGAAACATCCACTTTTGTTCTGGTTCTGACAATGCAGTAAATCGCGCTGATTAAATCTAAAAATCGCTTATAAGTTATCATATCACGCAAAACCGTGCAAATTATACTTTGTTCTCAAATTGTTAATGTTAACAACGTAAGCAAGCATTGCGTGACTACATGTAATGTCCTTCCGATTTATCCTTGTTTTCGCATGGGTCCGGTTGCAGTCTCTTTTTTTCTGTAAGTCCGAACGAAGTCTTTTGCATTTTACAACGGGTGAGTCTCCAGTTGTCACTGGTGATTGTCGTTTGAACCTTTCTGGATCCGCCATCAAATTGATAAGTTTAATTATATCAAGTGCTGTGAGAAAAGGCTGTAAATCTCTACCTCCAGCATCCTCACACGCAATATAGCCTACTAGCCGAGACTCCTTCTTTATGTGTACAGATGTGACGTAATGACACAAAGACATGCTCGAATCTCCCGCGGAAATCCACCAGTACCACTGAAATTAAAAACATTATTACAAGCTTACCGATTTGAATCGAGCTAAGGGAAGCAGATAGTTTTGAACACTGACTGGTTATGTATTTTCTCCAATATGTATTTTGGATAATTTTTAACCCAAAAAAAGCTTTAAAATGTCATTATCCTATTCTGATCCATACTGATTTATGTGGTGACAGTGCAGAATGCTGATCTAGGTATTTACCATATGAGATGCACAGAGAGATATTTAAAGAGAGAGAAAGTTTGAGAATCAGTTTGTAGGGGCTTTTGCACTGGTACTCACGTTCCAATAACTATTGCCGGAAGTACCCACTTTTTGGCGTGTTCGCACCGCAGGAACTGGGTATGATTTTAGTTATAGGAACACCTTTTGGGGAGGGGACTAAATTAACTCCTGCTTCAAAGTAGGTTCTAACAAAAAAGACAATAGACCCATTTATGACGTACTCCAAGGACTTTTCATAGGAAGGACAAATGGATTTGCAACGGTCGCTTTATCGTGTCCAGTGTAGACAGCTACTAGCTGTTGCGGTGCTGCGCGATGAGACGCGTCAACGGTCGCATCCAGTGTAGACAAGTGTAACCCAGCACAATAGGAACTACCAGTGACGTAACTGCACACTGATTAACACACAGTTTACGTATATTAACTCTACGAACTAACTCCACAAACATGGAAAACAGCGATAGATGGACTGATGCCAAAGTCCAGGCACTTCTTAACCTTTATGTGGTGGAGTTCTTTATGTTGTTGGATGCCGCGCTTAGATGAAGTCGCTGTCTGTCAGCTTACAGGGTTCAGAGTTCCTATTGGCGGTGCGAATGCAACCAGAAAAATGGCCCTAGGGTAACTTTTAGTTCTCGCTAGTTCCTATAATTGATTTGCTATAAGTACCCGGTGCGAAAGCCCCTTATATCTGTTTCCCAGCAGGTGGTAATGGATGTAAGGTCTTCTTGCATTGTGTAATCCAGCCCCTCAGGATTGTGAGATCACTGACACTAGAGTTAATATAGTTTTGATAGTTTCCATAAAAAAAGAAAAACTAACAATAATAATGATCAAATTTACTTGCATTGACTGCTATAATATTATAGTATTGTCATTATTGTTATTAGTTTAATGTCTAATAGTCCACTTTAGACATTCTACTAACTATAAGTAACTTTGCAAGTCCATGTCAACTTATTCTACTATAAGTTATTCTACTACAACTTATTCTACTAATTCATCTAAAGTGGACTATCGAAATAAAGTGTAACCTAGAATTAATATAATAATGAATAATGGCTAAAAACTATTTTTTTTTTCATTCAAATTCAAATGTAAAATTCACCGTTAAAATTCAAATGTTATGCATTGTATTTCTCACATGCAGTAATACATATTACTTATAAACTAGACATTGCTGCTACATTTAACATTATAACTTCAGTCATTCTCTGCATTTAAGATTTAGCATTTTTATTTCTTCATCAGCGATAATAATAACCTTGACTCCTTCTGTCTCCAAAACGCACAGACACATTTCTAGTACTCACTGCGCTGTATGACTCTTCCAAAAACAGTATGGTCTCTGTCCAGAGCGCTGCAGTTCCAGCGGTGATGGCGGAATTGATGCTGGCACTCTCGAATCCACTCTTTAGCCCCGCCACCGATCGACTGCATGATGTCTGGATACTTCTGACACAACTGTCTCTGTTTATTCACCAGCCCGGGAATATTGTCACAGATCACACGTGCACCAAGGGCTCCAATATACCTGAAATATACACACACAGAGGTTTAAAACCTGAATTACTGAACCAATCAGTCACAGTTTTTGTGCTGAATCAGTGCTGAATCAGTAAACATTCAGTGATTATGCATTGCCTGATGCCAAAGAGAATGATCATTCCCAGAATCTTACCACTCATTAGTAGAATTTCAGAGGGAAGTTTGGCAAACTGGCATGTGTCATAAACAGACATTTACAAACCAGCCATTATTTATGATTTATGCCAAGGCACATGCATAATAAGTTCAACATCAACCAATTTGGGATACATTTTTGAGCCTCAATGATAACCTGTATTCTGAGTTAATCTTTATTTTTTTAGACTATTGCTCTTTTATATGAAGTATTATGTTTTAGCTCCAATTATCATTTGCTGTGATGTCATACTTGATTCTACTCAGGTAATCAGAACAGAAGGAGATTTAATGAATTATGATGCATTCTGTCTCTCTTTTAATCTCTGTATAGTTTTCACTCCTGTTCTGATTTTTTCAATCCATCACTGTTCGATAAACTGTTTGTCTAACGCCAACAGAAACTGGGATAAAATCCCACTCTTTCTCACCCAAACCGTATCTCACATCAAGCCTTCACACTAACACACACTCGGTCATGTCAGACTAAAGGAGGATTTAGTTCTAAATATTATAATCTGCCAAAAATATTTTATTCTGCATTTCTTATGAGAAAATGAAGTTTTTTAACTGTTTTTTTGAAAAATATTTGTGAATGTTGATCAACCTTTTTATAATGACTGTGTTCCTCCCACTCCGATGCCTCATTTGACTGTGATTATAGGGCTTTATCGGACCCTGCGCTTTGCGTTCGATACTTTGAGTTTTGAAACGCTCACCCACACACACCAGGCTGGTCTCACACATTGGTGGTTATTAATTATCCACAGGACCACTACCACAACCACATGCTGTAAAAACACAGTAAAATCTGCTCTCATTTACACTGCGTGTCTGTGTGTGTGTAGTTAGGCTTGACTGGGTAAAGAATGTACAACTAGTAATTGTTTGCTTCTATTACCCAAATAGTGGTAAAAACTCCTCTCCTCCCTGTCCTTTCCCCTCTCTCCATCTCTCTGCATCTCCCCATCTTTGTCTTTTTCTGGTCTAATCACATTCTTTATGCCAATTGCAATATGGTTGGATGATTAAAAAACTAGCTTGTGTGCCGTTCAGAAATGAGTTGAGAATTTAAAGAAATTCATATAACTGTCATTTCTAACTAAAAGCAGTTTATCAAAACACATTTTAAAAGCTTAAGTTTGAAGGTTAAATGCCTTACAGATAGACGGTAGATAAAACAATAGAACTACAGACAGACAGTTAGACAGATAGATAAACAGATAGATAAACAGATAGATAGATAGATAGATAGATAGATAGATAGATAGATAGATAGATAGATAGATAGATAGATAGATAGATAGATAGATAGATAGATAGATAGATAGATAGATAGATAGATAGATAGATAGATAGATAGCCAATCTGCAAATGTATATGATTTAAAAGTAATGATTTAAGTAATTAATTAACTTTTTGTGGACAAGGGTGGAAGACCATGCCTAACCCAGTACAAAAGCTCACAGGTCAAAGATGAAGTTCACTTCAAAGGACACACACACACATCTTACTGTAAAATCTGTGTGGAAGTCCAGGACAGGCTTACGTCTGGGTTCATCTGTGTGTGTGTGTGTGTGTGTGTGTGTGTGTGTGTGTGTGTGTGTGTGTGTGTGTGTGTGTGTGTGTGTGTGTGTGTGTGTGTGTGTGTGTGTGTGTGTGTGTGTGTGTGTGTCTGTGAAATAAGTTCACTAGTATGAGACACTAACATGCCGCCCAGTAGCTTAAGAGGATTCCTGCTCTGTCTGTTTAAAGTGATGGATGAGCAGATCACAGAGAGAGAAAGAGGGAGCAAAAGATCCCCTTCTCTCTGGCTCTGGTGAGTGCCTTGCATTGGGAATGTCAGCCTGACTTATTACACAACGATAGTAGCAAAGGACTTGCTTTCCTCGGGTTTATTTTTTACTTTCTTAGTTTCCGTTCAAATCAAACTTAAAATCAAACTGATTTCTGAGCAGTTAGTAAGGACTGACGCAATTTTTAGGGGTCCAGTATGTAACATAACATGATCTTCATCAGAGAGCGGCAGAGCGCTGGAATACAGCATGTTTTATACTTGGTAGGCATATTGAGCAAAAACATTAAATTAACATTTGTCAGGAAACCACATGCATATATATTCTAAGTATACATAAAACCCAAACACTCCTTAACTACATACGTGAGCATGTGGCTGTTTTTTTCATGATTGCTCAGACTCACTGCACTGTGTGTGTGTGCATCTAAGCAGGAGGCCTGACACATATTGCAGTTATTTAATTTATTCTTCTGTTATTGGCTGGCACCACACCTCAAGCACACCATGAAAACCCAACCCATAACTCTGATATAATGATGTGCAGGGCCTGTTATAAGCACAAGCTCTGGGGAAACCCCCATCCCTCATGAGCATTTAAAATTATATTTTGAGGAGGCGAAATGCACGATTTGTGTGTTTCTAGAATAATTGCATTTTAAATGCCAATATCTTGGTGGAGAGGGCGGTGGAGCTGCGTTCCTGCACCAACGTGTGTGTTAATTTTAGTAGCTACTCGAGTTGACTGCCATCTTCCGAGTCCAGACCTCTGTCCAACAACAGGGTGCGAATTATGGGGAGTTTGGGGGGTCTGAACCCCATAATTAAAGCTTAAACCTCCCCAAAGAAAATAAAAACAAAAGGTCGGGGGTCTCAAAAGTATGTATCCTTTCGAAGATAAGTATAACTTTATTCATATTTCAGCAGCGTTGTCAAACAAAAACGGTGTTTTAGAAACCACAAAAGTTAGACTACAAGTTATTCAGAGTCAGACCGCCCTAAAGAGACGCTCGCGAACAGAAGTCGCGTTCGCCTGAGAAGATAACCATAGCAACAGCTGCGCGAGCACTTTCCGTCAGGATCCGTAGCTACTAAATTTCCGTACTGTCTTTGTTTATCACTTCATTATGTTTACATTGGATATGATGCATAGGCCTATTTAAGATTGTTGGCAAACTAGGGCTGCCAAGCAATTCAGCTGCGCGAGACGAACCTCACCATATTTCGCCCTAAACACTAACGACAGAAATTGCTTTAAGTCAAACACTCTGAACCAAGCCAGCCCTATACTTTAAATTACCATTAAAACGCATATAATTAAAAACATTGCCCGAAGGTTTAAAACTCTGTTTTTCATTATCCTAATGTAAAAACAGACTATTGCACACCTACACCATTGTTATTCAAAACTGTCACTAAATAAAACACTAGCTATTATATATCCAAATAACAGACATTTGCAAATGTCCAGTCTCCCAAAATGATAGCAGCTCGATCACCGGGAGCAGAAAAAAAACGCTCGGTTTCTGCGCGCGAGTGTGCGCCAGCGGCGGCGCGCGGGGATGCTGGACTCTACTCACCACCAGGACGAGTCCACGCGCGGCGTGAGGATGAGCAGGAGTAACAGGAACGCGCAGCACAACCTCGAGGACGCACGGGGACCGTAGGATGAGCCTGCGCTGTTTCTGATTATGTGTCTTAATCCCGAGCCCCCGGGAGCAGCGGTAGATCTGTTGAGAATCCGGGGCGACCCAAGAACTTTACCGCAGCCAAACATAGTTGAGCGTGTCCTCCAGCGGTGATAAGAAAACACGATTCTGTACTGTAGGAAACGGGTGTAAAGAACGTTTAGATCTGCGAGGACCTGCTGAAGTTTGGATTTCTGATAGCTGGACAGATGTACGGAGTTCCGTGCGGACGATGCACGGACGGATATCATGTATCTGCCCGGATATTAGCGTGTGCCATATAAAAGTATTCCCCGAGATCTGGCAACCGCAGCAGAAATAATCCAAGCCAGACGGCAGGTTCAGAGAGCGCTTTCTTTTCTTTTTTTTCACCTCCTCTTGAGAACAGATGAAGTCTCGGTGAGGTGCAATTTGATCAGCAAGAGTGCCAACTTTTCCACTTTTTCTCCCCACGTTTTGCGTTCAGGCAGGGCTGTGAAACACGCGCCTCTCCGTTTTTCCATTGGAGTCTGCGAGCGCTGATAGCAGACTGCGCGAGATAAACCGGGGCGATGAACTGTGCGAACTGCAGACCGAAGGGGTGGGCGACGGGGGGAGAGAGAGAGAGGGGCGATAGGAATGTTGACAGCCCGCCGTCTCTCCGCTCTTATTGGGTAAAGCTCACAGAGACCGGAGCCCCGGGGAAGCTTGAGCTCGCTTGGGATACGCGCCGTTCCCTGGTCAGTGGAGACACGCGCCACGCTCCTATCACCTGCTGAACAACACGCAGCATCCTTATTTACACACTCCGCTGGAGTGCAACCTCACAAACACACGAGAATTAGGGGAAAATGAGACTAGGCTACACACTTTAATTTTTATCGTTGTCACGCCTATATTTGCTTACATCCATTTAACAAGTAACAACATGTCCGACTGTGTTACAACATCCGTTCACTTAACTCGACTTTCCAATTAAATGCCCCAACAGCAATAATAATAATAATAATAAATTGTTCCAAATAATATAGGCTACAGAATATTAAGACGTTTGCCATAAACTTAATTTGTCTATTTTAGTGAGTTAAAAAGTTTTACAGTTTGGATTTGAGCGATGCCGTATAGTGACAAATATTCATCAATCAATGTTCAATGACTGGAACAATTGTTTACATTATAAATTCAGATAGCTTTTTATTATTTTAAGCGTATTTTGCTCGTAGGATAGTATGCAGTTGCAAAACCCATATTATGATAGCTGTAGCCTATCTAATAAATTACAATCAAACATTTGAATGAACGCAAGTGAATGAACGCACTCAAGAACGCAGCATTCGCACTGATGGCAGGCGCAATCGTCTGAAGAGATGCGCGTGTCTGAATACACAAGCTCGTGTTTACAGATAAGACTCTAGAGCTTGCACGAGTGCTGCTGTGTATAAACATCGCGCGGATTCCAGTTTCAAAACATCACATAGTTGCCTGTTGCATGACTCTAGATAAGTAAAACCATTCTCTTTATTAATGCAATGTGTAGGATAGTCTCACAATGGTCTGTCTTAACTGTTGTAAATATACTGCAGCATCCTAAGTTTAAATGGCGGCACCACTCCTAATGTAAAATAGATTATTTAAACCACACAATATAAAGCATGCAAATACCCAGTTCCAACAGTAGCAGCAACTTCAGCCCCAGATGAGGAATCTGCAACACCCAAGACTGCACTTCTGTAACACTTCACTGAGCACTTGAAAGTGAACTGGTGCAGAAATAGGCCCAAATCCCTATTGGAATTGAAACTATTAGCGTTAACTGCACTTTCCACCAGGGATTAAATGAACAATTATAATGTTTAGCTGTAAATCCTGAATTAGGCTAATCTTCTTGCCTGAAATTTTCATTTGTACTTAAACTTTAGTCCCTTAGATGCTTTTGTCCATAAAGCTGGCACTGCTTATAGTCTGTGTGAGAGTGAAACAGAGGCCTATCCTCTAAACGTGGAGAACATTTGTGCGTGTCAGTTCAGATGGTGATTTTATGGTAAATAAAGAGGAATTATAGAATGACAAAATAATAGTAAATCACATTTTACACTGAAAACATTGTTTTCACTTTCAATTTGCTAGTCTGTTCCAGTCATTTTTAGTCCACTGACATGTGTTATTTGAAGTTATATAGATACTTTCTTGCTGATGCAGTTTACTCCAGATTATTGGACAGAACAGGGCATTTTGGGAGTTTTCAAATTGAGAAACTATTTTTTTTTTAAATCAAATATGTTTGATCTACATATTTCTGGTTGTGTATCGCTATTAAAACCAAACTCATTGAGAAACTAAATGTAATAATAAAAAAAATTCTCACAAACACCAGAAATGCAGGTCATGTGACAAATATATATATATATATATATACAGTGAGGAGAACAAGTATTTGGTACACTGCCGATTTTATAGGTTTTCCCACTTACAAAGCATGTAGAAGTCTGTAATTTTTATCATAGGTACTCTTCAACTGTGAGTGACGGAATCTAAAACAAAAATCCAGAAAATCACATTGTATGATTTTTAAGTAATTCATTTGTATTTTATTGCATGACATAAGTATTTGATACATCAGAGAAGCAGACCTTAATATTTGGTCCAGAAACCTTTGTTTTGCAATTACAGAGATCATACGTTTTCTGTAGTTCTTGACCAGGTTTGCACACACTGCAGCAGGGATTTTGGCCCACTCCTCCATACAGACCATCTCCAGATCCTTCAGGTTTCAGGGCTGTCGCTGGGCAATACGAACTTTCAGCTCCCTCCAAAGATTTTCTATTGGGTTCAGGTCTGGAGACTGGCTAGGCCACTCCAGGACCTTGAGATGCTTCTTACGGAGCCACTCCTTAGTTGCCCTGGCTGTGTGTTTCGGGTCATTGTCATGCTGGAAGACCCAGCCACGACCCATCTTCAATGCTCTTACTGAGGGAAGGAGGTTGTTGGCCAAGATCCCGTGATACATGGCCCCATCCATCCTCTCATCAATACGGTGCAGTCGTCCTGTCCCCTTTGCAGAAAAGCATCCCCAAAGAATGATGTTTCCACCTCCATGCTTCACCGTTGGGATGGTGTTCTTGGGGTTGTACTCATCCTTCTTCTTCCAAACACGGCGAGTAGAGTTTAGACCAAAAAGCTCTATTTTTGTCTCATCAGACAGACCACCTTCTCCGGATCATCCAGATTGTCATTGGCAAACTTCAGACAGGCCTGGACATGCGCTGGCTTGAGCAGGGGGACTTTGCGTGCGCTGCAGGATTTTAATCCATGACGGCGTAGTGTGTTACTAATGGTTTTCTTTGAGACTGTGGTCCCAGCTCTCTTCAGGTAATTGACCAGGTCCTGCCGTGTAGTTCTGGGCTGATCCCTCACCTTCCTCATGATCATTGATGCCCCACGAGGTGAGATCTTGCATGGAGCCCCAGACCGAGGGAGATTGACCGTCATCTTGAACTTCTTTCATTTTCTAATGATTGCACCAACTGTTGTTGCCTTCTCACCAAGGTGCTTGCCTATTGTGCTGTAGCCCATCCCAGCCTTGTGCAGGTCTACAATTTTATCTGATGTCCTTACACAGCTCTCTGGTCTTGTCCATTGTGGAGAGGTTGGAGTCTGTTTGATTGAGTGTGTGGTTGAGTGTTTGGTTGAGTGTGGGGACATATGTGTCTTTTATACAGGTAACGGGTTCAAATTGGTGCAGTTAATACAGGTAATGAGTGGAGAACAGGAGGGCTTCTTAAAGAGAAACTAACAGGTCTGTGAGAGACGGAATTCTTACTGGTTGGTTGGTGATCAAATACTTATGTCATGCAATAAAATGCTAATGAATTACTTAAAAATCATACAATGTGATTTTCTGGATTTTTGTTTTAGATTCCGTCACTCGCAGTTGAAGAGTACCTATGATAAAAATGACAGACTTCTACATGCTTTGTAAGTGGGAAAACCTGCAAAATCGGCATATCAAATACTTGTTCTCCTCACTGTATATATATATACATACATACACATAACATTAAAATAATTGTTTGAATGATTTCTCTTGCTTTATTCCTATGATGGCAAAGCTGAATTGAGCAGCCATTACTTCAGTCTTCAGTGTAAAATGACCCATCACAAATCATTCTAATATGCATGACATTTCGAATTATCAATGTTTAAAATAGTTGTGTTGACTAACATTTTTTGGAAATGTGATACATTTTGGAATCTTTAATGAATAGAAAGTTCAAAAGAACTGCATTTATTTGAAATCTTTTGTAACATTATAAATATCTTTGTCACTTTTAATGTGCATGTCTTAAAGTATTAAAATCTTTTTAAAAAAAGTTTACTGACACCAAACTTTTACAAAGGTACGTACTGTACATACATGCATAAATTAAAGAAATACAATTTAACAAGCACATTTCTGTGATACTGAACATTGAGGTTTGGCTGGATGCAGAATGCCATTACTCCATGAGATCAGCTCTCAGTCATGCTCATGTGTGTCTCTCTCTCTTTCTGACTGCTCTATAATAGACGGAACAGACACTCAAGGTGACCACAGGGTACAGGAACACCTGAGAGAATGAGCTCACAGTTTATTTCTGTACCTGTGTGTGAATCTGAACCTGTGTTTGTGTGACAGGTCTTAACTCTTCATTGTCGTAAGGTTTGGCTCTGTTTCAGGAATGAGGACACTGCGAGTGTCCTCCTGCCTCACTGCTTAGAAGTTCACCGCTGGCTATTTTAGAAAGGGGCTCTGGGAAACTCTCACCTGATTATAAAACCTCTCTCAACTGTTCAAGTTCTGCTAATTCTGTCCAATAATACATTTAAATTAGTACAGCTCTGTAGGCTACTTTCTGTAAAATGTTGCAGAGTATGTGAATCTTCATCTTAGCTTGTGTGAAGGTACATGTATGTATATAATGTGTGTTATGAACAACTTGTTCTACCCTTGTTGTACAATTTGGTGTCCCCATACTTAGAATAGTGATTTTGTTGGGGAGATTTCCAGACAATATTACATCAAACAACAATGAAGTTATTTTAACAGCAAATATGTTTTATTTATATTAAAATAATTTTAATAAAAAATGGTTTCATTATTGTGAATAATAGAGATTATAATTAACAACATCTAAGAAGTAACATCATTTTAACATTTTCTATATGAGGGAAGACAATACATTATCCCTTGTGTTATGTTGCGGGTCAATTTGACCCGTTTCGATTTTCAAGTTGTTGGAAATACTGGTTAACTTTTGTTTTTTTTCTTGATATTTTGTGACTTTTTCTCATTTATCATGATGAACATGCATGCAAAGTTTCAACATCGTGATGTGTTTTGACATATACAAACAAAATTACTGTTACGTTCGTGATGTTCGCGGGTCAATTTGACCCTCATAGACAGCCATTCAAAAGCAACTGTACAGACACAAAATAAAAACATTTATTTTCTGTATGTAAGGGCACTTCAACTCCAGTTCTAACGTGCAAGTGCATCTAAAAGTGCTCTAACCCTAACCAAACACACTTGAAAAAGCTAAAATCACAGTGTTTAGAATTATTTGCAAATTACAGATGAAAATCTTTGTCAGACACAGATAGTAAAATAAGCTCTCATTTCAATATTCAAGATATCTAAAATACCTAGCTTTTACCCCAAACTTTTATGTAGGATTTTCAAAGGCAGCTTCACAGAGCCA